AAAAAACAATAATAAAACTTCCTTAATAAAAGTCTCATGTCCATTTTTATTTCAGTATCTGAGCCGCTACTGACTCCTGCTGGCCAAACAAGGGACTGACAGAGAGCTTCTTAATCTGTTTAAATTCTAAACAAATACAAAACGTTTCTAATAAAAGACAATTGCTGCATAATATAATAATAACTTTGCAATCACTTTAATCAGGTATAAAAGCCTAAAACAATGGACAAACGGTTGAAGTTTTTCTTGTGCCCATGGCGGGTAGGGTAATTAAAATACTGCATCTGTTAAGAACTTGGCTCTAAAGTAAGACAAAAACAATGATATTTTATAAAGATATATCTATATAGACATATAATTATAGAGATATAGTTCTGTATAGATATAAATGTGGAGTTTTTTATATTTCTAACTTCCCACTCTGGTCAAGGCTCCTCTTATAAAGCTTTGTGTGGCTTCATCAGCCCCCTCCTCATTCTGGCAGGATGTCTTTGTGGTTGTTTCGTGCTGCAGCTAGCTTTTTCTCATTGCTTTAAAATAACTCTTGACCCCATTTCCTGAAGATGCTTATGCAACAAACAAGTCTCCGTCTTTTCCTTCACAAATACTGAAATATTCTTTAAAAAGGCTTTTATTCTTCTGAGACCAGAAATCTAAAATACATTTTAAGATTCTAAAAAAAGGCAATAATTCTTTTTTTTTTTTGCATTTTAATTATATGAAACAAAAAATATATTTCTTTGTGATGCTTTAGGTTACAGGAAACCTCAGGCAATCAGCCTCTTCAGACTTTGCATGACTCAGGAAGTATGAGTTTCATTTCTATCGCTCAGCAACACCTTACACATGCAGAGTTAAGTACTTTTGCTATTTTCTGTAAATTCAAACCACAGACACATGATTGTTTCTACCTATGCTCAGCAACAATCCAATGCAAAGGAAGGGTAACCGATAGTCACAGGTTAAAAAAGCATGTGTAAACTGCATACAATGTTGGTGTAGATGTCGATTTTATAGTTGGATGTGTGTATATATTATATAAAACTGTAACTGGAGCGTGTAACAAAAGTAATTTCCCTCTGGGATCATTAAAGTATTTTTGATTCTGATTTAACTTTAAGCTTTTAATAACTATTACTAATAAATATCCATAGACATTGCATTGGTTTACATTGCACAATAGTTATATCACTGTTGTGATATTTTACCAGTAGAGTCTGAATATATCATTAAAGGTATATTGGAGGATAATATTTTTCCAGTTGGATCATTAAAATAATTGGTCCTTCTAATTGTCATTCATTCTGGTGTTATGTTTATGAAAAGCCATTCTTCGTTCTAGTCCGCATTTTCCCTTACCAGTGGTGAGTCTGAAATAGTGGAAAAATTGCAAATCTTTTTGAAAGTCTTGTATAAATGATGCAAACAGTCTTTTTTACACAGAGCGTGAATGATTACAACTGTAATTTGCTCATTCACCAGCGTTCTTGGTCTTTGACATTCAAGGTTAGACTCCTTGATCGGCTATTTAAAATCCAGTTGTCTTTCACCAAGTTAGTAAATTAGACTATGGCTATCAGCAGAGTTATTAATTACTAACAAAATAAATCTCTGTTCATTCTGATGTTGGTTAAAGAAGGGCTAGTCTAACCTGAGCGATAAATTGTTCACTGCACAATAACCGCAAACTACTACAGGTAAAAATATTGATGTCCTTATTTTCTAATAATTAAAGATTATAGCATATCTAACATATGTGCAAATAATACAGACTAATAAAAATAAAACACAAGCTAGAAAAATGAATAATTTGTAAAGAGGGACAATGGGTCTAAATGTGGGTTAAAAGAACTTCCCAGCGAGTATCCAAGTTGTGTTGGGTGATGTCCGTCCATAACAGCAGCAGGCATATTTAAATATTAATTAGAGCTTAGATGCAATTAAAACAGTGTTTTTTCATTAGTTTCATTCAGTGGATAATGACAATAATTCACAAATGCGTTAAACAGTAGCAGCATTACAGTAGAATGTTTTAACTCTTATGGCTCAGCAAGCAGGTTGGGCTTTAAAGAGGAAAAGAGTCATAAAACCACAAAATGGCTGCCTCTAAAACAATGATTTTCAACCATTTTTGAGCCTTGGGACATTTCTCACATTTACAAAATCCTCGGACACACCCCCAACCAAAATTACACTCTAACACCGTACATATTATAGATATAGTTAAGAATACAGTTTCTAAATGTATTTATATTGAGTGTGAAATCTGTTTCTGTTTCGATGAACACAAAAAGGATATCCTGGCAGGAATGGTAGAACCAAACGCAAAGCTCTTTCTCAACAGTTCTCATTCTCTCTCTGTTTTTAGTTTTTAACGCAGTCAAGTTTGAGAAGCTCAGCTCACATAGATATGTGGTTGAAAATGGGAGCAATGTCGAAATAGCTTTGTTAGACAGAATTGGGAACTCCTTGGCAACAGATAACCCAAAACTGTTCAATAAAAAGGTTAGAGTAGTTTGGCTTTAAACCACAATCTTGTTTCAGTTCAATGAGTTCCTCTGGCTCCTTTAAAGTCATGTCCTGTTCCAGTTTTCAAATGTGTGCCAATCACCTTGCACATTGCAGCAGTCTTGCCATCTTGCAGTTTCTCAGAGAGCGGGAACATCTTAACATGTTGTTGGCAGAGCTGCACCTTTAAGCGGAACCCGTTCATTTTATTAGTGCTTTTGAGCAGGTTTTCGTTTTGGCCTTGTGTCCGTGTTTTCAGTTCATCTAAATAATGAAATATATGTATCAGCCAGGTATGCCAGCTTTGCACACCACTCATCACTTACAAGCAGCTTTGAGTAATCAGACCTCTCGTTTCCCAGATATATTTCTGTATCTCTGCTTCTGTCTCCTTGAACCCCAGTCGGCCTCGGCAGAGTCTGAGTCTGGTTCTTTTGGAGGTTTCTTCATGTTAAAAGCGAGTTTTTCCTCTCCACTGT